TGTTCCGTTGGAATGGCCCATTCGTTCACCGCATTTGATTCTTCGATTTTTTGTTTGGGGCTATATCAAATCAAAAGTTCATGGGATTATACGGGAACTTAGAGAAAGAATTTATTTTTCAGGACAAAACACAAGCACTACAGGAAAAATTTTAAGGCGCTCTAAGAGCATTACCCCAATAAGATTCCAAAATGTTAGAAATACACTGTTTTACTGTCTGGGGGTTTAAGAAGAACTTTTCAACATTTGCTCAAATTAATGTTTTATGTATAAGATAAAATGCTATCGTTTCATAACCTTGAATTCAACACAACTCCGCAACCGGCAACAAAAGGTCATTGTATAGAAGTATAGAGAATTGAAATACCTTTCATACGAAATGCCACCCTCCTTTCCATTTGAAAAAAAGTTAGTAGCGCCCTCTCGGCGGCGAAAGTGATGTCACACTTTTTTGGCTTTTTTATCAAAAAGTAATAAAAATTATTCCTTTTCACAACAATTTCGTTCGACTCTGATATCTCGCACTGTTCCAAAATTAAGAGAGTGGGGTACTATTTACGTTCGAAATGTATATTAGTGGAGAAGTAGAAAACAAAAAATTTTTATGAAAAAATATCTCTTCAAAAATACTTGTTTTCAAAATATAATAGGTGTATAATCTTAGATATCTTTTAGTATATTTCGAACCAAGGTAAAACATTCACATATCTACGTTTACGAAATCATGCCGTCGACAGCAGATCAGTTCAATTCATGGAGTTCAATATATTTTTAAAACAAATCCCAAAGGCTCTGTAAGTTCTGTTTAAGGATTTCTTCAACGTTCAGTCAACAATGTATAGGCATTCCGCTTTTGAATACTTATAGTACAGATAAATCAATACGTCATGCAAATCTAAATTAAATTATTCATGGCATGGTGGAAATCAAACCATCAAACCTCAATTTAAACACATGGCATAATCATGTATTTTATCATCGTGGAGAAAACTTTCAACTTTTTCCTAACATTATTGTCATTCGTATTCGTAATAGTTTGCATTTGCATAGCCTACTACGAAATCAGTATGTGAAACGAGAGGTGGATATGAAGAAGTCAAAGTGGTATTTTCATAATGTTGTGGTTCACTTCAACCGCTTTATTGAAATTTGAAAGAAAACATGAGATTTGAGTTGAATAATTAATTAGCATTCTTGTTACGGAGTGGATTCCACCAGTTTTAACAGATAAGAATAGTCCCTCTTTCAGTGTATCGACACAAAATTTATGTCCGCAATTTAGGAATATTTAATCTCATTTCTACGTGATAACTAAATTATCTAAGGCGTTATTTCTATTTCGTCAGCTAAAACCTGTTTCTAGCTCTTTTATACCAAGGCTAATTTTTTGTTTAGTTATTCAGTCCAATGTTCAATATGGTATTATTCTCTGGGAAAATTCAACTGATCCTCTGTCCCTATTCATTTTAACGAAAGAGGGAATAAGGATTCATGCTGGTGTCGATTAAAAATGAAATCGATTTTAATACGATACAAACTATACTATATTCATCAAACAAATAAAGCAACCCAAACAACGACAGATGCATGATCATAGTATGATCACCACGCACATAAGTAAGGTGAATGAACATAAAACCAAATATAATAAATAGATTATTGACAAAATTGCTAAAGCACATAATAGAATAGTATAACGTCTTCCCCCCTACCACTGCAAGCTCAACCCAATAGAGCTTATTTGGGCGGACATAAAAAACTATGTTGCCAAAAAAAATATACTACTTTTAAATTTTGTGATCTTAAAAATATTTTGAGTCTATTACCGCTGAAAAATGGAATGATTGCGTAGGGCATGTGAAAGATAAGGTAGAAATGAAAATGTTGAGGTTAGACATCTAATGGGTTGACAGAAGATCGTTGATGACTAATCTTAATGATGATTCCTCTAATAGCAGTTCTTCAGAATCAGTAATCTGTCTAAAATGACATAAGAATTCATCATTTTATTATTATTTTTTCAATTCATACTCTTTTGAAATCAAAAACTGTTTACACCTACGGATGCAGTCTTGCCAGGATCACCCTGGGCGACCCTGGGAAGCTGGCCCGAAGAAATATCTGGCTATGACCAGGAAAAACCTACGCTTGACAGTAGGATTTCTGACTGGCCACTGTCAACTAAGGAAACACCTACATAATATGGAGCTAGTGGACACACCTTCATGCAGGATGTGTGAACAGGAAGATGAAACACTGAAATAGTTTTTCATTATTTAGAATAGTTACCTTCTATAGATCTATAAAATAATCAGAATATTAAATTTACAAATGAATACAAATCTAGAAAGNTTTTTTTGGAAAAGTTAAAAATAAAAAACCAATGACTTGGTTGTTTGAATTTTTCATATAAATTTCGAGATTATGTGAAAAAATTGTGAATTCAAAAGTTGTAGATCTTCAATAAGAGAGTGTGTGTTCGGCGAGTCTTGGCCTACACCTGCTAATATAAAGGAGTGACTTGGAGTCCTAGTGACTTGTCCACCTTTCTGAAAAGGACAGGGTGGACGATGACCTAGAAGAGGACAACTCCCCGGGAGGATGTACAATGGGTCACATGTGACCTAAGTGCATCCTCGCCAGACTCCACGTTCGAGAATTCAAGAGATATTGTGTTGTTTTTCAAAAATTTTAGGGTACCTATGCTTTTATATCATTTAAGCTGCATGTTGACGTGCCACACGATTGTAGTGTATAAAATAACTATAAAAAAAATAAAAAAGTGATAAGTTCTTGAGCAATGGCATATCATTGCCTGCACAAAGAATCACATGTTAAAATGTAAGACATCGTTAATCCTCAGCCCTCATGAATTTTACTTTCTTTAGTCGTTTATTTATTTTTGCCTTAACGTATTAAGAAGTCATTTCATTCACTTGGTGACAAAATAAAAATTGTCTCAATTCCTATATACTATCACCTCGATTAGTATTCAATAGTTCATTCTAACTTTGATTTATAAGGAGAGGATATTTCCCTTCTTCTACCGAGAAAGTATAGCAGGTTACTGTTTCATTTTCAGCAGCCAGTTTCCGACACCAAAGAAGTTGCAAGTAATCACAAAATATCTCAGAATTTTACTTTCTGTTTCTCCCATCAGTGACCCATTAGGTAATATTCTGATTAACGGAAAAACAGAAAAAACAGAATATTCACTGTCGATATACCCGGACTTGATTTAGTATACTTCTCACACTCATGACGCTTCAGAATCTGTTTGTGACTTGTTATAATAATTACATTATTATTATAACTTTGCCATTAATAACAACAAATGTCAATATACTATGCCCTCAATCAATTCCATCTCACTAAAGTATTTTCAGTGTCTTGTTCATCACCCTTGTAGGAGGTCTGTTAAAAAAATAAGATGAATTTTCTATATCTCAAAAAATATTCGTTTATTCATCAATTTCTATTTTGTGTACTTCAAATTATTCCTCATCAGATATAAAATACACTTGTGTCAGCGTCTTTTTCAAAACTCGAATCAGTTCTGATATGCACTTTTTGGTATGTCACAGGGGGCCAAATCTGGTGGATCCGCTGGCTGAGGCATGATTATGGTGTTGTTTTGGCCAAAAAATTACGTACAAGCAATGAAGAGTGAGCAGGTGCATTATCGTGATGCAAAAGCCATGAATATTTTTCCCACAATACCGGATGTTTTCTTTGTATTCCTTCTCGCAAGCGGCGCATAATTTCAAGATAATACTCCTTATTGACCGTACGGCCATGTAGTAAGAACTCCTAATGCACTACGCCACGGTAATCGAAGAAAACATTGAGCAAAACCTTGACATTTGATGGAATTTGAAGTTCTATTTTTGGTCTTGGCTCTCCTGGGCTCTTCTATTAAGACGATTGGTTTCGATGTCATTACCATATACACATGATTTACCACCAGTTATGACCCTTTTGAACAAATCTAATTTTCCTCATTTTCATTAACGACCTTCCTATTCACATTTTCATTAACGACCTTCCTATTCACATATCTCAAGGAAGGGTGCTTATGTATGCAGATGATACTTGCATTACTGTGTCAGATACTTCATCTGAAAGACTATCCGAAAAGGTCAACACAATCCTAATAGAGTTCAAGGACTGATTAAAAATAAACTTATGAATAATCATAATAAGACGGAATATATAGAGTTTCATAGCAAACATAGAACACCTTTGCATTTACCGCTCTCATTTAAAGGAGTGTCAATTGAGCCATCCATAATGGTGAAGTTCTTACGAACTCAATTCGACTGCAACCTATCGTGGAACTCGCATGTCGATGTAGTTTGTGGCAAGTTGAACAAATGTTTCTATGACAAAATGGTTTAGACTTTCGCGGCTGAGGTTTTGAGTGTCACTGTTTTTCGAGTTTGAAAGCCGTGGATTTTTGGAATTTCTTCCTGACGTTTCGCTGGCGCGAGTGGCTAGCTTCTTCAGAGGTTTAACCATCATGGCTTGCCATCGGACAGCAATACACTCCAAATACACTCCAAAACATGCTGGAACGAGATTGTCTGCTTGAAGTTCACTATGCACTGGGGTACTCCGCTTTTTCATATAGTATCGTTGTGTCAAGCGTCCGAACCATAAAGAGTGTTTGTGTTGCAGAAACGCATTAGACGTATTTTCTGCTTATCTTATAGAACATCATGCAGAGACACTTTCAAAAGCAAAAACATAGGTACGTACTGGCTGAAAGATGCTTTTACTCTCTCCGTGAATTCGAACTTCTTTGTGGTTAGCGACTTACAGTACTGACCTTATCATGCTTCTTCATATATTCATATATTCTTCATATATCTTTGTGATGGTCTTGTGATTTTTCACAGGCGGTGAAGCATGCATCACTGAAATACCCGATTCCAATTCGGTTTTTGACTCGATGTTTCACAACATTCAAGAATGTAATCTTTTTTTTCAACTATTATTTATGATTGTCATTTTAATGGTACATATTCATCAGAAACAATTTAATTTGTGAACTTGGACTAATCCGATCTATTATTTGGTAATAGGATATGGATGCAATAAATTTGAGTTTGAAATCTGGATGGCCGTTGACGTCATACAATAATTCCTGAGCGATGCTCAAGTACCGTTTTTTTGGCAATGATTCAACAATTTTGGAACGAACTTCGTTGCCACACGCTTCATGCCCAAAATTTTTGGAAAAAATTGCATGCCATGAGCCAACTGATATGCTGACATCCTCAGCAACTTTTCTTATAGTGATTAGACGATTCTCCAGCTCCAGAACAATTTTCCTCACTTTCTCAATATTTTCATCGGTTGTTGAGGACGACCGTCGTCATTCACATCTTCTCTACCTTCTGTGAAAAGCTTGTACTACTTGTAAACATTTTTCTGACTCAGAGTACAATCACCGTATGCCACTGTCAACATTTCAAGTGTTTTTTGAGCACTCCATTTTTCACACAAAATTTGATGCAAATTCCTTGATTCATTTTTTTCGACAGCAGAAAATCGTTGAACACACAAAACACTTCCAATTTTCATGCCACAAACCAACAACCAATGTTCGGGATGAGTGTACCAACAGAAAGAAATTCAAAACAATCGCTAATCGATTGTACGTATAGCCCGCGAAATTTGAACAATCACCTTATTCTTGAACAGACCTCGTATTATCGTAGGGGCCTTGACCCATGTGGTAAAATTGCCGAATATCGGATCACTCGCTGCTCAATAAATATAATCTTCGGAAATCAATCAAATTTCTCTTGAATGTATCAAAGGGAAGGTAAACAAGTCGCGATCCTTTGGATAAACGAACCTTGAAAAAATTAACATGGAGGTGAAAATGCACATGAAGGTGTCCGATCACTTCGGTACAAAATGTTGACAGAAACAGACGTTGAAGATCACTATAATCCGTATATGAGACAGATAGAAATCGAGAAAAACAATTCTCAGTGCGGTTTTCATTTGAGTAGAGGGAAATGGGATCCATACCCTTGGGTGAGCAGTGTAGACAGAGACTCTGCGGCATCGTTTGCTGGCTTGAAATCGGGAGACTGTGTGCTGGAAGTAAACGGAGAAGATGTTATAGGAAAACGAATATCGGAAATAGCGGAAATAGTCAAGCTGAAGTCTGAACAAGTTTCGCTTTTACTTTGGAATGCTGGTGTTGACCCTCAATGCACGCCTGAGGTAATCAGAGAATTATTGTTATTAATTATACCGGGTGACGCTTTATTTGGTACTCTCAAAAATATTTCAGAAAGCTCTCAGAAAAAAATGGCGATGAACTATACGATAATTCCAAAATAGTAAGCAGCAAATTCTCAGAAATGACTGACGTGTTTGCCTTAAACTGTCTCTGGCAGTGGCGTACGGAAATTATATTAAACAGATAAGACAAAATTATGATGAAATACATAGAATCACAACCTTGTTTTAATGCAACAATATTTCTGACTGCCTTACTTACAATATTTACTTACTGCCTACTATTATGGAATTGAAATATAAATAATTTGGTCGTACTGAATTTTTCATTCAACAAAAGTTTATATACTATATTAATGGTAACTAAATTGAAAAAACCAACTTATTTCGGTTATTTCAAATCAAATATCTTAACTATATGAGTTCAGTAACCTCTTTTTATTATATGAATTTAATTAAAACATTGTGACAATTCTTTAATTCAGTTGTCTGCGACCTGATATAAACTCCAAATAGGAAGTGATAAAAACGTCATGAACGAGTTTATATTAAAATGTGACAAATATTCTAAATATATCTGTAGTAGAACAGGACACGAGTGTACTGAAATAAAAATGGTTGAATGAATGCATGTTGTAATTTTTTCTTCATAATACGTGCTTTTTCATCAGAATAGTACTATTGCACCATAATTCACTTCCGTTATACTTGTTCCTAGGTAATATTTCACACCTGATTAACAATCTTCGTAAGCGGAATAGATTTGGGAAAGTTCAACCTTCTAATGCTTTTATAGTGTTTATTTTAAAGCCAATTTCATGATGAGCATTTTCTGTGACCTGAGTCGTGCTTTTGACTGTGTCGATCACGTTACTTTGATCTCAAAATTATATAACTATAGTATAAGAGGTGTATATTTTTAATCAATGTGCTCTTGGTTTGATCATATATGTACCTACCTGTATCTCAATATTGAGAAAAGTAATTTGATTCCATTTCATCCAACAAAGAGAATCGATAACAAGGCATAGTTGTTAATAACAGTCAATTATCTACAGTGGAGAATTGTAAATTTCTCAGTATATTTGTCGATTCCAATGTGGAATGGAAACCCCACTGTCAATTTCTGATTTCCAAGCTGTACTTACTCAATCCACTTTATGTTCAGAAAATAGTCCTATTAACTCAACAACAGTTGATTAATTTATATCATGCTCAGGTGGAAAGTAGACTCAGGTACAGAGTGTGCCTGTGAGGAAAGTATTCAGTCACATAAAGTTTTTATTTTGCAATAAAAATTATTAGGTGTAACAGTTGGGCTGAAAAGTTAGTAGCCTAACAGAAAAAAAATATAATTTGATTTAATAATTCAATGTAGTTGCCGTCGAGGGCGGTACAATGATTATAGCGGCAATACAAATTTTTGGTACCATTTTTATATTAGATATAATTTATCTTTAGCCTCAAAGTATGCCACAGTTTCGACTATTTCCTCTTCATCGGTGCTATATTTTTTTCCAGCGAGCATGCTCTTGAAAGTGACAGGAAAAGTCACTGGGAGCTAGATCTGGAGGATACAGAGGATGCGGTCTTTTTCCGCGATTTCGTTCTTCAAACGTTTCAATAACAGCTGCAAACACTGTTCAGAATAATCAATTCGTTGTTGTTTTTGGTCGATTGTGAGTTCGCGTGGCACCCTCCTCGAACAGAGGTTCCGCGTAGGCAAATATTCATGCACGATATGTCCAGCACGTTCCTTTGATGTCTTTAGAGCCTCATCTGTCTCAATCAACTTCACTTTGCGGTCATCCAAAAATATTTTGTGGACTTTTTGATGCGTGCATTGTCCTCGGTGCTCATTTCACCTCGTTTACACTTAGCAAACCACTTCTCAACAGTTGATTTTCCTGGTGCAAACCAACAAAAGTTACCTCACTCAAAATGGTCTATCGCACAAACTAAAAGTCATACAGCTGTGGAATTTGTACACGTGTCTTTTGAAGGTTAGGGTTAACTAAAAATCATATGGCTTTCATACTAGCAGCTCACGTAATATCCCATGTCAGTTGCACTAAATCTGATATAACTGAAGTAATGTTTTTTATTGAATTTTATTGAACTGTATTATCAGATCGACTTTGCTTGAATTGTGTATTGAAGAGAAAATATGTAGTTCTTTAGGTTGCTAACCTCAGTTTTGGATTGTAATATCATGCTTAGTACTTATACGAATGAAAAAACAATCACTTATTCGTGTTTAGGATAGATCCCCATACGATTTCAACATCCACAATGTCATATTTTATCTAAAATATGTTTCCCCATTTTTGGTGGTTTTTTGATCTTCTTTTTATGTGACTACTCTGAGGAGAAAGTATCATTTTCGGAAACAGGGCGAAATTTCGAAGATTTGGTAAAACGGTTTCAAACTTAGACATCAAAGCGGCATTTGGAACTTTTAACCTCCTCCTTCAAGGACCCCTCAATGTCGAAGCGTCCTGGATCCACCCTTACAGTGAAGTGTAGAAAATTGATATTGTGTCGTAACGCTGAGGTTTAAATTTATACCTGTTATTATACTACTAGAGAAAAGTATGCTATTCACACGATTTTACCATAAAGAATTGATTTATGAGATGTTCGGCGATGAATTGTTTTCACTGAAATCACGTAACCAGCGTTATTATTACCTAGTTAACATAAAAATGAGTAATTTTGTTTCCGTTAAAATCTTCTGATGAACATTTTAGTTTTCCAATTTTTATTGTGGATAAAAAGAAGCATACTTTCTTTCGTTTTTGCAAGATTTTTCAAAAATAAAACAAAATCTTATTCAGAAATATCCAATTTTATTCAGATGAATAAGTAACGTAACGTATAGAATCAATGAATTAATGTTGGAAAAATATTTTTAAAAACAAGCTTTTTTATTGTATATCATCAACGACTTTTTGGAAAAAACCAATAATCCGATATATTGCTTTGCTGACGACAGCACACATTTACATTCCAGGACATCGGCTACGGAGGCACAGCTTCACCGACAGCTTGATGAGGGTCTATATCTATAATAATGTCAGGTCAGACAATTCCGCTTTCTGCTTCGATGAGTTTGTTGGGGGTTACAATGAACACCAATATGTCTTGGCACGATCATGTCGCTGGAATTGCAAAGGTTGCTTCTCAAAAGCTTGAACACTATTTTGAACTAGAAAACTGATTGGAGATGCGAACATCACGTGCTACCTTGATAGCCTGGAACATCCAAGAAAGGTTGGAGATTTGTCTCTCTTCTATATATACTTTCACTGGAAGTGTTCAAGTGACTTGGCACATTTAATTCCACCAAGAGCGGTACATATCAGAAATACGCGATGGACTGTGGCTGCTTATCGTTTTGAGGTACAACTCAGTACACCTCGAACTTCACTGTTTAAAAACTCTTTCATCTGGAAAACTGTGTTTATATGGAATAAACTTCCTGAGAACGTTTTTCAAAATGGATTTAATCTCCAGCGATTCAGATCCAATGTGAATCGCTACTTTTGCACAGGCACCGCTTTGAGAGCGCCTTACGGATTTTCCTGTAGTGCTTGTGTTTTGTCCTTAAAAAAACCCTACAATATTTGTTCCAGCACCACCAAATTATACCTATAATCTCTGCTCAGTTATAACCCTTTAAAATTGGTAACGCGGCCATCTTGTTGCCCGCCANAATAATGCGTGTTGAGAAAACAAAGTACCTAGGTTTAACTATAGACCAATGTCTTAGGTGGGACGATCATGTCAACTCTGTTACTCGCACATTGTGACGCTTACTATTCAAATTAAAAAAATTTAAATTGAAAGGTTCTGTCCTGAAAATTAATATAAATATACTTTGTTCATATGTCCTCTAGTGCGAAACATCGTATAATTATGGAAAGTGGCGTTCTTTATCTGTAAAGGATACGAGGATATACGTTTCCAAGAATGAGATGTGCACTTATCTAATAACGTGGGAGGGTCTATTTTTATATTCATTTAAATGATCATCAAAATAATCATAAGAGAATATAATACTTCCTGGGAACGATTTGAATATAATTGAATAATAACAACGTGTAGATATTCAAAACTTGTTCACCACCTGCAGAAATCACATTACGTCTTGATGTTTTCACAAACAAAATATTAACGATAAAAGAATGTTATGAAATATACTGTGTTCATTACTCATTCTGGATTCCAGTAGTGAAGTATGAATTGTAAACGAAGTATTTGCCCAGACAATATTATCAACTGTTGTTTCATGAATATTCTCAGCAAATATGAGTACCTATGATTTGGTAATTATTCTTAGGAAAATCGAATGAAAACAATAACTCATCACTTGATAAGTAAAACTGGAACATCTGGCATGAAATGACTAATGAATTTTTTTTAGTTATCCCCTTTTAATGACTGACCACTTACCATCACCTTTGTTATATACGGTGCTGTCCATATGTATGGAATAACTTCATTTTTAGCGTTATTATGTACTATGTGAAAAAAACCAGAAACAGGTCGATTTTTATTCTTAAATTGACAATTCACAGTATGAAAATATTATCCCCCTCCAGCACCCCTTCTGAATTATAAACACCCCCTCGAAAATTTTAAATAGCAAAGGGGGTCGTGTGGCAACTTGTTGGAAAGGGATTTTAGTCCTCTGTTCAGCAATATGAAGTTTTTTAAGTTTGGTGCAATCATAACTGAGAAAATTAATTTTTGCAATTAAATTAAATGTTCAAAATGACCACCATTATTCACTTCTTGACAATAACCTGATGTATTAAACAGACCATCCCTGTAACACGCTCCTTACTTACCTTGAATCCTGGAAAAAATCTTTGAAGATACTAAAAATTAGACAAAAAGCCAAATAAACAATTGATATGAATCTAGTAGGCTGCTGTCATTTAGGTATTTACTAAAAAACGACAGTATAATATTATTTTTGAGGGCACTGTTAATGGTGAGGTTTATCTAGATTTTTTGATTAACTTTTTAGTGCCTACATTACAAATACATTTTCCTGATGTTAATCATTTTGCACGTACAGTTAGAAATTATTTAAACGAGGTTTTTCCCAATAGGTGGATTGGAAGACGTGGAATGATCGAATGGCCGGCTAGATCCCCCGATTTGACTCATCTCGATTACTTCTTATAGGGTTATTTGAAATATAAAGTATATTTTAATAGACCAAACAATATTGCTGATTAAAAGTTAGGATAACGGAAGAAACTAAGAAAATAACCCCCGAGGTCATACAAAATATTGTACGAGAATTCCAAAATCGCCTCGGTTATTGTCAAGAAGTTAATAGTGATCATTTTGAACATTTAATTTAATTGTAAAGTACAGTGAAAAATACATTCTAAATATTATGTGGCATTATTATCTTCATTCTACGTAAAGTTTTGTGATACCTAGAGACATTATCAAAATTTTACATCCTAAAAATCAATTTTCTCAGTTATGATTGCACCAAACTTAAAAAACTTCATATTGCTAAACAGAGGACTAAAATCCCTTTCCAACAAGGTGCCACACGACCCCCTTTGCTATTTGAAATTTTCGAGGGGGTGCTTATAATTCAGAAGGGGTGCTGGAGGGGGATAATATTTTCATACTGTAAATTGTCAATTTAAGAATAAAAATCGGCCTGTTTCAGGTTTTTTTCACATAGTACATAATAACGCTAAAAATGAATTTATTCCATACATATGGACCGCACTGTATAGGTAAACCTATACATAGGTTAACCCACTATAAACACTGTAAAATTTTCTGGAAAAATCTTGGTGTATTTATTTTGTCATTTCATCATCAAACAATAGTTTCGGTTCAGGAGTACCGCAAGAGAGTGTCCTGGGACCTATCCTTTTCACGTACCTGAATAATATTGAAATAATAATCGACTGTGAGTTTAAGTATAACAATATTCTTTCGAAAATCGAATGCGTTTTTGATGGGAGTCGCAAAGTCTCTCACACCTGAAAAACTGAAATAGAATGTGTCCAATAAATTCAAGTATGACTCACTTGAAATTGAATTTCCGTGACGGAATTGACCGATACTTGATGAAAATCCTTAACATTCTAGTAATACTTAATTGTGTGATTTTAATTGACCAATTTACAAAACCGCAACACGTGTTTCACTATACAATAGCCTTCCTCAAGCGTGTTCATGAATTCGCCTAAGGACGCTTTTGTAAGTGAAACACGTGTTGCGGTTTTGTTAAGTAATCAGTGAAAATCTTACACAATAAAGTGTTACTTGAATATAATTTTAATTGTCTTTACCTTTGTATCTCAATTTTAAACATTCATTAGATATTGAAGAATACACATTTGTTTGTCCCGAATTCCATACCGATAGCATGCAGGTACTCAGGCTCGCCCAGAGGGGGGATCAAGCAAGGGCGGATCCAGCTTTGGCGCCAAAGGGGTCACATAGTCGTGGTCAAGTCACAAGAAGTTATAATTTAATTTTGATAATGATAGATACAAGTAAAAAGAAGGTATTTTATTATTGAATTTAAGTAATGTGCTTATAAAATAGCTGTCTATATTCAAATGACAAAATCATGTTATAAATGTGACGTGACATAGGAAAGGTGGCGGCCGTGGCGGTGGCGCGGTAAAAATAAAATGTTCGATGCGTTCGTTCTCGAATACGTTTGTCGTCAAACAAAGTATTGTATTGAGTTAATTAAATATTGAAAGTACTTAAATGAAATCTATAGGTATTGTGACAAAAAATATATAAGAACATTATGTTCAATAATTTCCTAGGTCCTGGACCAGTCCGGGGGGTCATGCCCTTAGGGGCAAGGGGGGCCCGGCTCAGACCAAAAAAATAGAAATTTTGGTTTGGGAAGCCAGCAACTAGAGTTGCTGTATCCAACTGTGTGCATAGCTCTACGTTTGTTTTGCACATTTCCAGTGTCAGTAGCAGGAGCTGAGCGTGCTTCGAAAAGAATTAAATCCTATAACCATGGGCCAAGAGATACTGTGTGGTCTAACAAATCTTGGCATGGAATTTGCCCTGGCACGTACTGTTGATTTCGATGCCAATAAAAAAGCTAGAAAAATAGTCATGTGAATTTTTTGTCAAACTGCTATTCTTAGCGTTTAGTTCGTTTAGTTTTTACACGATATATATTATTTTAATTCATGCTCACGTTCTGTTGGTATTTTGACTTGACATGCAGGACATAAATATTTGCTGAAAAAAACTAAAATTTGTTTTTATTTTATTTTTTTCTACGAAAAAAAAGCATTGTTTATTATAAAAAGCGTTTGCACAACCATTAAAACTATGTATATTTACAGTAGTCCACATGTATGTTCAACAACAGCAGTCTACTTGTATTTATGTAAATAGATTTAAAGTAAAAAAACACTCAAAATAAGGTTAAGGTAAACACTCATATTTGGGTTTGATTTGGGGGAAGGGGGTATTGTTGAGACCGAAAGGGGCCCTAACATGATATTGGCCTGGGGGGCCGAAATTCGTTTCGACGGGCCTGCGGGTACTCCTCCAACTCCTTTGAGGATTGATGGAAATCTTTTTCTCTAGAGACACCAAGTTTAACGTTATCTATTCAAAACAAGTGGGTGACCAATATATGTACTCTCGGTATCTGCCACACGTTCCTACAAAATCGTAGGTTCACATGAGAGGCAAGGGGCAAGGTGTTTTCACTTGTACTCGAGCATATGAGATGCTACTCTACAGAATATTTTAATCATTCTGACTTCTACCTTGGAGTATGTGTTTGGGGAGTAGTTTCTGGACTTTGTCTGCAGGTGGCGCAGTGGTACATCCTACTGAATCAACTGCAGATAGAGCTTAGGACTAGTTGGAATTAAAGGGTAAGGGAGCCAAGCTCCAACCTGTTCGAAACTGAGATGACTTTGATATGTATCCAACCTGTTTGAAAATGAAGACATCAATCTGTTTGTTCGAGTCAGTCAGACGGTTCACTATGTCTGAAATGACCCTCCCGGTACTGATGAGAAGCTAGTACTTCGAAACCGGTCTATCGGTGGTCGTCCCGACCAAATGAAATTAATTTCAGCTTTTCATACATAGGAAGTTACTTGCGACGAATATTCCAAATGGAAGACGTTGCATAGGTGCCTGATGGTTTTACTTCAGCTTTCTGCGCGGCATCAGCAAGTCAGTTGTTGTTTTTCCGTCGGGTATCTGCCACACGTACCTACAAAATCGTAGGTTCACATGAGAGGCAAGGGTGAGGTGTTTTCACTTGTACTATATAATTATATACTATATATATGAATCTATCTATAAATCGTACATTTACATAGAAATTACCCTTCTTTGTTAACCAGTGGATACCTTTTTTATAGATCATCATTTTCAGGCTTTATGTTGTGGCCCTCTTCCTCAAAACTTGCAGAGGTTATCAGCATGTTTGTCGACAATTTTGGCGTTTCTAGAATGTCCTATATGCTTGGATACCATAACCCCTCCAACATATCAATGTGATAATGGTCACTTGATTTGTATGAGATGTAGAACGAAAACAGAAAGATGCCCTGTTTGTAGATTAAGATTGCACAGAGGAAGGTCTTTGATATCGGATCAGGTGAGAGGTTTTGATATACAAATATTAGTACTACCTAAAGCCTATATACAACAGGTTCCTATATATATATATATAGACGT